GATAATTCGAAAAATAAAGCAAAATCCAAAGATAAGTGCGGTGAAAATCACAGCTGAACTTAAAAATGATCTGGACATTAATGTATGCAGTAGCACAGTGCGTAATTTTTTACGGGATAGAGGATATCACGGCAGAGTAGCTCGTACGAAATATTTCGTAAATTAAATTAATAGAAAGAAACGATTACAATTCGCGAAAGAGTACGTTAATGTTCCTATGGAGCACTGGAACCGTATTATATTTACTGATGAGAGTAAATTTAACATATTTGGGTCCGATGGACGATGTACAGTATGGCAGGAAAAAAATACCGAGTACGAAAAAAGAAATTTGAAAGCGACCGTAAAGCATGGAGGAGGATCAGTCACAGTTTGGGGCTTTATGAGTGCGAGCGGGGTTGGATCCCTCCATTTTATCGATGGTATCATGGATCAGAAAATGTACATCGATATTCTAAAAGAGCATCTTCAGGTTAGTGCAAATAAAATGCAGTTACAGGGCAATTATATATTTTTGCAAGATAATGAACCAAAGCATAATGCTTATAATACACGTCAGTGATCCTATATAATGTGCCGCAGCAATTAAAAATCCCTCCACACTCTCCAGACGTAAATGTGATAGAGCACTTATGGAGTCATCTTGAAGAAAAAATTCGAGACCATCACATTTCTTCGAAACAAGATTCAAAAAATGCACTTTTAGAGGAATGGAACAAAATTTCTAGTACTATAACCATAAATTTAGTAAATTCAATGCCGCAAAGGCTTAAAGCGATTATACAATCTAAAGGAAATCCCACTAGATACTAAAATAGCAAATAGACTGATTTTTGTTACGTTTATGTGCTAAAATTTACAGTTTTTGTTGTAAAATTAGAAGTGCACGAATACTTATTACGCGTATATTTCACGCCAATTTCTGGAAATTTGTTAATATTTTCATAATAAATATAAATAAATAATTTGTTGTTAATGAGATTTGTTCCAGAGATTTCTAAGAATATGTATGCATGTTTTTGTTAACATAGTTTTGTAATAAACAAAGTTCTGTAAAGTTTTTGTTCAAATTGGCTAATATACGAATACTTTTTACACTCACTGTATTTATTTAAAACTATTATGTCGCGTTACAATTTACGTTATAGAACCTGTTTCTATTAGTTAACTTTGCTGTAAACAGTAAAACTTAAAAAATTGGTGCTTTTCGAGTATTCATTTTAGAAGAAATAGGAAATTCAACTAAACCGAAGAATTATTACTAAACATTTACTGTGGATATTTAAAAAACTACAGAAAGCAATTAATATGCAAAAATTCAAAAATTACTTGAAATCAGATAGGAATTATTATATTTATAATACATTAATCACGTGCTTTTTAAAGAATCTTTAAAAATTATTTTATCACAAAATTGTTTTTCTACTAAATGATGAATTATCTTTCTATTTTTGAAATAATCAACTTTTTACTATATTCTATTTTCTGGTTGCAGAAAATCGTTGAAACTTTCTTGGTTACCTGATACAAATGTAAGAACCAATGAGAAGTTCGAACACGTAAGAGTGGACTAATTTGAAACAATTTTAATCCAGATAAATGGCACATCTATACCTGTGGTGAAAAGGCAAATTGTACATAATCGGTTAACGATCAGTTTAAACTACCCACGGGCCATTTACTCTGCATAAAGAATTCTTCGAATACACCATTCAGCAGCGTAAATTCAACACGTTAGGCTCGAACGTTCTATCGAAATAATAGCCCTCGAGGCGAATTACTTAAGAGTCTTAATTAATAAAGATTACTCGGTATCGAATGAACTGGCTGCATTATCAACTACAAGTATGAAACAATGCCTACCTTTTGTCGCAGCCAAGAGCAATGAAATGAAATCTACAGCAATCAGCTTATCATTATATCTGTGTTAGTAAGATACAGTGATTTGTACTTTCCAGTGTATCAGAATTGTTTAAATTAAATAAAAAACTTGAAACGTTAAATTAATTATACTCGAAGTACGAAATATATATTCCACACATTTGCAAACAATATTTTCCTTTACATATAGGGTGATTCACTTAAATTGAAAATCTAAGTTTATTTGGTTATTACGAAAGGTAGAAGAAAATTTCTCTTATCATGTACAAAAATGCATATTGCAATAAAATAAAGAAAGTTATTGAATTCTTTAAATTTCCAAAGCTATTGAACTCCCCTTGATGTAAACAACATCGTACTATAGAATAGAAACATTAATGTCGACAAAATATCGATGACCTTGAGAAAGTCATTAAAATGACCTTGATAGAATGATTCTTTGTTAGCATCTCGAGAAACCATTTTAACACCACTGCGTCAATTTAACTGAATTTTCTTTTATACTGTCCCAGAATATCGTCGAGGGGAAACAGCCAACAGTTCTTTAATGCGAACGGTGCATTAGCACAACAAATAAACGGTTAAATTATACATTGTTAAACAACAGACATCGCAGAAACGGCGTCTATTTTTGAAGGTTCCTGCAAAGGAGGAGGACGCTTTTGAATAAAACATATCCCGCCGGCAGGCATGTCCTACAGTTCGTTTTTCTTGCTCTTTGCGTCTTCTTCTCCTACGGCTTGGGCTTTTGTTTTCGTTCTTTTGCCTTTTGTTCGCAACGCGGAGCCACTTATTCACGAAACGACGGGCCCGGGTCTTTTCTAACAATTAATGTTTCACGAAGATCGCAGTTTGAACAGCGTTTAATTCGCGACGCGCGATCGCGTCCGCGAAATTTTAGGACGAATTTTACTTTTCGTTGTCCGGTTCGCGACTGGGAACGATTAAAGCGACCGGGGAATCGAGAGTAACAGGATTCGAGCCCGTGGAAAACGTTTAGAATGTTTCAGCATCTTCGAACGAAGGTCTCTCGAAGTGCCTTCTGTGTTCTTTGCTACCCTCTGCCCCGAGCTTGTTGGGCGTGCTTTATTTTCCTTCGCTTTCCGAGTCTCTCGAGCTCATTACGGAACGTTTTGTTTTTCTGCCGCTCCGATCCGTATTTCTCGGTTACTTCTGCAAGACTTACGGGAGTTACGAAACACTCAATGTGCTAAATATTTCCTACCAAACATTTACATCGACGTGGAACGCGTTTCCCGAAACTTTGTATAATCTTGTTTTCAGAATTCGTAGTTGCGGGGATGTTGTTTCGACGCTGGGAGACAGAAGTTGCTGAATACTAGGTTTTTCTTAAATACCTTTAAAAGTATTTTACGTTGCACTGTAGTCCATTCAAAGTTCAGAATTTGTTCGTGAACAATTCTTTGGCTCTTTAATGAAACTCTAAACTATTCTACGAGAGGAAGAAGTTGATCAATGAGTCTGACTTCTTCTAGTATTATCTCCTTCAGTCTTTAGGAAGGGGATTATATTATAATATAAACAACTATTATATTAGCCAACTTCTTATCTCTACATAGTACTTTCCTCACCCGTAGGAATTGAGTATAATTACGTCTATGTGTCTGTATTAAAGTCAGTTGAATAACTGGGATTAGTTACTATAGAACTATATCAAAACTTTTTATTTTGGATACAGTGGCGTATGATTACTCATATAATATTATTTTCCTCCTGTTCAGACTTTATTCGTTGTTATAATAGTCTATGATTACTAATATATCATAGATATAGTCGACTATGATTACTAATATATCATGAGCATAGTAGTCTATGATTACTAATGTATCATGAATATGGCGGTTTATGATTACTAATATATCATAGATATAGTGGTATATGATTACTATCATGAATATAGTAGTTTATGATTACTAATATATCATGGATATAGTCGACTATGATTACTAATATATCATGAGCATAGTAGTCTATGATTATTAATATGTCATGGATATAGTGGTCTATGATTACTAATGTATCATGCACATGGTGGTCTATGATTACTAATATATCATGGATATAGTGGTCTATGATTATTAATATATCATGGATATAGTGGTCTATGATTACTAATATATCATCGATATGGTGGTCTATGATTACTAATATATCATGGATATAGTCGACTATGATTACTAATATATCATGAGCATACTAGTCTATGATTACTAATATATCATGGATATAGTGGTCTATGATTACTAATGTATCATGGACATGGTGGTCTATGATTACTAATATATCATGGATATAGTGGTCTATGATTATAAATATATCATGGATATAGTGGTCTATGATTACTAATATATCATCGATATGGTGGTCTATGATGAGTAATATATCATAGATATAGTGGTCTATGATTATTAATGTATCATGAATACGGGTGTCTATGATTACTAATATATCATGGATATAGTGGTATATGATTACTATCATGGATATAGTAGTTTATGATTACTAATATATCATGGATATAATCGACTATGATTACTAATATATCATGAACATAGTAGTCTTTGATTACTAATATATCATGGATATAGTGGTCTATGATTACTAATATATCGTGAATATAAAAGTAATTATTCCAGTGACATATCAATAAATTAAGAAAGTGTGCAACAAAGAATACTGCAATGCTCCAAGAGTTTAATTCTCTTTTAATCCCATTTAACATAAATTTTGTTTTAAAACCACGTTATAGTAAACTTTAAAGACATGATTTTAAGGACAACCTAACCGACACAAAATACCTTTTGGCACGATATATTTTTTCGTTCGTCCGAACCCGTTGAAAAAAAAGGATTAATTAGCGAAACTCGACGAATAACCTCTGACAAACTTCAGTTCCAAATGGGTTAAAATACTGCGACAGAAAAATCCATTTTTATCGGTTTCAGCTTCGTCGCTTCCAACGGTCACTGTTCCGGAAGATAACATTTTTAGCAGTGATCTTTAAAAATCTCTTAATCGTTGACCCTTTATCTGCCGCGGTTTTATTGATAACATTCTTCTGATTGATGACCTCATCGCGTGCTCTTCTTTTCCCGCAGGTTCTGATAGCAAGGTGTCTGATGTTGATGGACAACCGTATACAACGTTGTTGTACAGCAATGGGCCTGGCTACACACAACCGCGGAATATCTTACGAGAGGCTGGGAAGGATTCCATTCAGGTAAAAAGGCCAGCTCATTTTCTCGTTGCACGGAGATATCTCGTCACTGTTTATTGGATCGGAAAATGATCGAGCGGAAATATCGGGGGCACGTTTAAAAATCCATCACGTTTTTTTCGAGGGTTCATTGCGAAATATTCGATGAAGCTCTTCGGACTTCATATATTCTGCCCTCTCGCCCCCCCACCTCCGCCGCGCCCTTTAGAGGTATGGCACATTTTAACTTCCAACAGGTACGACAATCGTTCTTTCGACCCGATAACTTTTAATCTGGACGAGAAACATTGATCGTTTCATCGCGGATACACGGAATGCAATTTATGCACTCGTAGCACGGGGTCGCAATAGGTTCGAACTAATTTAAGTTCCTGCCACGCTTATTGGTAAAGCGGAAAAGTTTGCGTAAATGTAAAGAGAAGAATTAATGGAAGCTATTTTAAGGAGCTACGTTAATTACCGACAGTGCATACGACGTTAAAAATAAATTAACACGTTCGTCAGAGGTTAATGTTCTCTCTGAAAGTAGAAATTTTATTTAATTACTGGTTAAACAATTTTCTTCGCTGTAATGTCGACGATCACTTATAAGCGACCAGTGGCAAGTGGCAAGCCTTTTCAGTCAATTTTACATAGTCGATGTACCTATTCTGTGATACAGTAGTCCCTCGTTAATGTTAGCTATTTCTTTCCTCAATATTTTGTTTAGGCGAACGTTACAAGCATTATAATTAAGTGTTCGTAGATAGAACTAACCAACCTTCTTCGAAAACGTGAAAAACAGAGTTACTTCCGTCAGCAACACGATCCAGCCTAACAGAGATAAGAGTCGACAATTTTCAGATCATTGTATATTGTAAGGAAACATAGTAAAGGGATATATTTATTTACATGTGTCGATTTTGCTCCGTTAAAAAATATTCTGAGGCAATACTAATGCCCTACTAATGCAATACTAAATTTAAATTTCGTATTCTCGTTTTGAGATCTGATTAAATTCAAATGTGTCTTCTATTGTTGATTTTTATTTTCCTGATACATATTCGTAATTTTGTAGATATTTAAAGTGTTTTAAAAAAGTCTAAAAGAATTCAAATGAAAGCTTTCAGTAAACTGTTTTTCTACTCTAATGGAGGACAATAATAAATAAAATTGTGTAATAAAAATGTATCAAGAAAATAAAAATCTGCAACAGGAGACACATGATTGCCCATGGATCTATTTTGATTTGAATCAAGCCTTAAGACGAGGATACGAAACTTCAATATTCGATTTTAGTATTGCCTCAAAGTATTTTTTAACGTAATAAAATCCACACATGCAAATAAATATCTTCATTATTGAGGACGTTGTTGCGAGTACGAATTCACACACTTACAACCCAAAACTCAATTTGTTCCTGCGATAATACATGAATGACCATACAAGGACCTCACTGAATTGTCTCTAGGCTGGATTCTCAGTGGTTTTACCGCGGCAACAAAATATTAGGTGTACAAATTAATAATCCAAATTATCTTAAGCAGTTATAAAATCAAGTGTAAAGTCAATAGATTTTCCCGCTCTTTTGCGGTCATATAGTGTTGACATATAGCTAGTTAAAACAAAAGATAGTTTAGCGAAAGGCCCAACATAACCTTCAAAAGTATTCAATTCAGAAGAATAAAAAATGACAACAGATAAGATGCATATCCGACACTGCATTCTTTACGAATTCCAACAAGGGAAAAATACTGCTAGAGCATGCGAATCGATTTGGTCCTTTCTCGGTGAAAGTGTTGTATCGTATGATGTGTTCGCATTTTGGTTTAAGCGGTCTAAAAACGGTGATTTGAGTCTAATCGACAAACAACACCTTGGAGGCCCTCGGAAGTGCGACAACGATGATTTGAAACAACTGCTCGCTGAGAATGCGGCACAAACGCAAAAAGAACTTGCAGAATAGTTGGGAGTAATCCAGCAAATGATTTCCAATCGCCTACGTGAGATGGGAAAGATCCAGAAAGAAGGAAAATGGGTTCCGCATGAACTCACTGCAACCAACTAAAATCAACGAGTGGCAGCGTGTCTTTCTCTTCTCAATAAGCAGCATCGAAAGTCTTTCTTGTGGAAAATCGTTACGTGCGATGAGATGTGGATACTCTATGACAATCCGAAACGCAGAAAGTCATGGGTAAATCCCGGCGAAGCATCAACATCGGTTGCAAAACCCAATCGCTTCAGAAAGAAGGTTCTTCTTTGCATTTGATGGGATATCAAGGACGTGGTTCATTAGGGGTTGTTGGAACCGGGTAAAACAGTTACTGCGGTCTGCTACGAACGTCAATTAATCTGCTTGAGTCCAGCATTGGAACGAAAACGTCCGTATACTGGCAAAGGAGAACGTCCAGTGAAATTGTATGAAAACGCCAGGCCACATATTGCTTTCCATACAAAAGACACCATAATGAGTCTTAACTGGGACGTTTTGCAGCACCCGGCGTATTTACCAGACATTGCTCCATCTGATTATCACCTGTTCCTGTCGATGCAACACGCCTTATCCGATATGCACTTCCAATCAGTGGATGAGATCCGAAAATGGCTTGACGAAATTATCGGGCCCAAAAACGTAAAATTTTTCCGAGATGAAATTCATCACCTGCCTGAAAGATGGCTTAAAGTTATAGAAAGTAACGGCGAAGACTTTGATTGAACAATTGAATTTACTTTCTTTTAAAATAAACATTGAATGTGGCTAAAAAACTTGAATTATTCATTTGTACACCTAATAATGAGGGTGGAAATAGGAACAAAGAAAGATAACCAAAATGAAAAAGAAAATCAGGAAGGAAAACTCGAGACAACGGAGAGAAAGTGAAAGGAGAGGTAACAACGTTGAGGCCTGTGCGGGTCTGATCGTCAAATCTGCCTGAAGGATGACCAGGCCCGAAGAAACCCTTACAGAGCAGGACGCGGAGAGAATAGGCAGAAAGTCGTAAATGAGGAAGAAAGTTCAGAGAAGCGAAAGTTGGAAAAATTTGAAATTGTTTATCTTAGGATATGATACGAGGACGTGGTGGTAACGGTCACCACACCATGTTTCGTTACAATATACGCATAAAATAGATACAGGGTGTTCGGCCACTCCTGGGAAAAATTTTAATGGGAGATTCTAGAGGCCAAAATAAGACGAAAATCAAGAATACTAATTTGTTGATGGAGGCATCGTTAAAAATTTATTAATGATTAAAGTTCCGCCTGTACTAAATTTTTTTCTAGAAAGTAGGCAGGATTACGGGGGTAGGTTTATTCACCAAAAATTATTGTAATTGGCTCCCACAACCGAAAATAATTTTTCCAGAACGATTTGAAATTTTTTTTCGCCAAAAAATTTCAACACTCTACCCCGTCGATTTTTCTAAAAAATTCGTTTTTGATTTTTAATAATTCTATTTGACGCCCTACGAAAAAGTTGTCTAATACTTTTTTGTAGGCACCCACGAGCTCTATTTCAGAAAAAAGTTTCATTCAAATATATTCACTATTATAGGAGTTATGGTCGTTTAAAAATTGGACCATTTTTATGGGGGTTTTCTTATTTTGTGGGATTAAGGATCCACTTTTCGAATATTGTTGCGACCTCTAGATATTCTTCGCCTAAATACGCGTTGTTTGCCTTTTGAAACATTAAAATCGTTCAATCCGTTCAGAAGTTATGACGTTTTAAAGATACGCATTTGGAATGACATTTCTGGCCTGAAATTATATTTTCGGTAAGGAATTTTTTTTCTCGAAAGTAAGTAGGATTTCGAGAGCATGTCTATTCACCAAAAATGATTATAATTTACCCCTGCAACCAAAAAGAATTTTTTTAGAACGATTTGAAATTTTTTAATTCTGTCGAAAAATTTCACACCTATTCGAATATTTTTCTGGAAAGTGGGTAAGATTTCTGGGGTAGGTATATGTACCAAAAATTATTGTAATTGATCCCCCCGCAACCGAAAATAATTTTTCCAGAACGATTTGAAATATTTTAATAACTTTTTAATGAAGCCTCAGTCAAGAAATTGATATTCTTGATTTTCGTCTTATTTTGGCCTCTAGAATCTCCCATTAAAATTTTTCCCAGGGGTGGCTGAACATCCACTGTGTAGAATTTACAAATATGTTTTTGACAATTTTTGCATTTCGAGCTATATTTTATAATACTTTACTGATGGTATATAAATCGTACAAAATTCTCCCTCAATATCCGAACATTTTCTATATTCCAGCAGTCCGGCAACTCGCAATTCGCAACCATTATTCCACCCTTTCATCCGCTTTGACTTCCACAGCGGGTCAATCAGCGTCAACTCCGGCCAGATCCTCGGTGGTGTTTCGTCATTATCGTCTTTCTTTCATTCTCCTCCGGACTTGGGCCAGTTCCCTTCCGTTCCGCGATATTAAACGCGTCACCGTGGTCCCCCGGGGCCTTTGACCAGCGCCATTCAATTCTTCGGGAGAAGCGACTCGCGCAACGAGCGACGCAAAGGAGAAAAGGAATATTAAAAACTGCGGAGAGCATGCGAGCAATTATCATTGATCCGTTTTACACGGTGCTCGTTAACGTTTGCCCCGATTCGACCGGGTTTCTTCGTCGGGGAACTCCCTCCTACGCCCCCTCCCCTCCGCCACGCGAGGCGTCGGTTTCTTTGAGCGTCGATTGATCGGCCGCGACGCGGGGGAAAAAAATTCCCGCGTCGAGCTGCGCAGTTATTTGCGTTCGTCAATGTGGAAACGTTCAACGATTCGACGATGGAAATTTGTGCGATCCCACCTTTGCAATTTCCCAAGCAGGTTTCCGTGGAAAGAAGACTCAGCGTCGGTGGAACAAAGGATAACCCAGTTTTGGGTGAGAAAAAAAATCTGAAATTCGTTTTTAGTACACCGACGTAACGGACAAGGAGAAATTTCACGCTCGTTAACACTAAATTTACGAACACTGCACGTATTTTTATTGAAAACCGTTTGTGAAA